CAGGAAGGAAGTGCGCAAGACTGTCCCAGGTCTTAAAAACGCCAGAGCGCAGTGACCTTAACGCACACTAAACCCACACTATCTCGAAGACCGCTCCATCATGCATCATGTTCTGGAATGTTCACGGAAACCTTTCCAATGCAAGTTAAATATTAATATAATAATTAGATATTACATATAATTTGGTAGAAAAACACTGTTTTTACGTTTTATTGGTGCAAAGATGAGTAGTGGTGATATTTATTTTGTACAACATTTGCAATTGCTTTTTATCACTTAATTAGAAGCACCACAAATTAAATTTGTCATGTTATAGGGCAGGGATCCTCAAATCTGGCCCACGAGATCCACTTTCCTGCAGAGTTTAGCTCTAACCCTAATCAAACACACCTGAGCATGCTAATCATTGTCTTCAGGATCATTAGAAAATCACAGGTAGCTGAGTTTGATCAGGGTTGGAGCTAAACTCTGCAGCGCATTGGACCTCCAGGGCAAGATTTGAGGAACCCTGTTATAGGGACTACTGAAAAGACATTTAGAAGTTGATTTTAAAATGCAAAGTAAATAAAGCTATGTAAACACTTGCATTTTTACAACACTACAAGTGTGTCCCATCAGGTAATGAAAAGTTCGACACACACTTGTGGTCTTCGTGCTCACTTGAACACTTGGGCCAAATACAGGAAATACGTCATATAAGTGGTCAAGTACAAAGACCGTAAGTGTGGGTATTTGGCCAAGGCAAGAGACACGCTAAAAATCCTCATTTGTAAAAAAACAAAAAACAAGTCAAATATTAAAATAAAGTAATATTTATTGTAAAAATACAGAATTTTCAGTTAATGTTAGCTTACTGTATTTACACCTAGCTTATAAAAACGAGAAGTCTACGCAGTGTCTCCAGTTAGATAGATAAGCAAACGTGTGTGTGTGTGTGTGTGAGTGTGTGTGTGTGTTGCAAGTCATGCCTGCGAGCGGAAACAGCACTGTTGTTCAAGTCTGTCCCACCTGTTCCTGGGGCGAAAGTGCAGCATTTGGACAACAGACAGGTACTGGGCACACCCAACAGTGCCTGCTGACAGATGGGCGGCGTCCTCCTAATTCAAGAGATTCATTATTCATATTTGTAACACAACATCACTGACAGGTAAATTACAGTAATGCATTTCACCCACTTTCTTGGCGTTATATGTTCCGCTGTCCATCTTTCAAGCCGTCATCCTATTTTAACTGCTGGTCATTTTATTTTAGCGTGAAAAGTAAACCTTAGAAGGGACAAAATGAACGGGCAGTTCTCATTATTACTGTATAGGCCAGTGGTTCTCAATTCCAGTCCTGGCAACCCCCTGCTCTGCATACTTTGCATGTTTCTCTAATTTAAAGGGGTCATATGACGTTGCTAAAAAAGAACAGTATTTGGTGTAATGAAATGCGTTTATGTGGTTTAAGGTTCAAAA